CTCAACCTGATGCAGCTCGACATGAAGAACGCCTTCTTGCAGAGCAAGCTCGACAGGGTGCTCTACATGTCCCAGCCAGACTACTTCAACGACGGGATCGGCCGGGTGTGCAAGCTGCTGAAGAGCCTGTACGGGCTAAAGCAGTCGCCGCTGCTGAGGTACTTGGCGCTCAATGACGTGCTGGTCGGCGCCGGGTGGAAGAAGAGCCAGGTCGACGAGGCTCTCTATTGCAAGGTCGGAGAGGACGGAGTGGCTTGCTGGGTGCTGGTCTACGTCGACGACCTACTTGCCGCCAGCAGTAGCACCGCGATGTTGAAGGAGCTGAAGGAGCTGCTGGAAGCCGCCTTCGAGCTGCGTGAGATCTCGCCGGTGCAGAAGTACCTCGGGCTGGAGATCGTCCGCGACAGGTCGGCGGGGAAGCTGTGGCTGCACCAGCAGGGCTACGCCGACAAGCTGCGTAGGCGCTTCATCGACGAGGAGCAGACCGGGCGCACCCCGAAGACGCCGGTCTCTGTCGCCGCCTACGCTGAGCTCACGTTCGATGATGAGGAGGCACAGGAGCGGCAAGAGGAGGAGTACCGGCAGAAGGTCGGCTCGCTGCAGTTCGCGGCGACGACGACGAGGCCGGACATCGCCTTCGCCTGCAGCAAGCTGGGGAGCGGTCTCACGGTGAGGAGCGACCAGCACTGGCGTGAGGTCGACCGCTGCCTCGTCTACCTCGCCAATACGCGTGACACCGCCCTGGAGTTCGGCGGTGGACCTGAGTCGCTGGACCTGGTCGGCTACGTGGACGCCGACGACGCCGGTGACAAGCAGAACAGGACGAGCACGAGTGGCTACGTGTTCGTCTATGGAGGGGCTACAGTCTCCTGGTCGAGCCAGCGCATCAAGTGTGCGACGTTGTCGTCGACTGAGTCGGAGTACGTGGCAGCCACCGAAGCCGGCAAGGAAGGACGTCGACTTCGTTTCCTCCTTGCAGAGTTCCGGCAGCTGGATGCCGGGAAGCCGACCGTCCTTCGGGTGGACAACAAGTCGGCTATCTCAGTCGCCGAGGGCATGGGGTTGACGGGCAACCTCAAGCACATGGAGCGGCGACAGGCCTGGCTGCAGCACATGGTGAAGCGCGGGAAGTTCTCGTTGAGGTACATCCCAACCACTGAGCAGCCGGCCGACTTCCTGACGAAGGCGCTGCACTATCCGGCCTTCAACCGGTGCTCCGTCGCAATCGGCCAGGTGCGCTTGGCCGACGTGGGCGACGGCGACAACGACGTACAGCAGTAGGTGCCATGCCCTCTTGCATGGCTGGTGCGGTGGACGACGTGCGGTGTGTTGGGTGCACGTCGACGAGCTATTCTCCGAGGAGTACTGCCGAGTGGACTTGAGGGGGACCAAGCGTGAACGCGGCAGGGGAGTGTCAACGAGAGTTGTATGTTGGCCCCGTCCACGCTTGGGCGGAGCCGACATCGTGGTCGGGTGTTAGGGGAGCAGCCGACCTGCAGCAGTGGGCGAGCTGGTCGACGAGGAGGTCGCCCTGCACGGGGACCACTGCACGGGCGCCGACTTCGGGGTGGCGCCAACTTCGGGGAGGTCAACTTAAGCGTCGACCTGCGGAGGACGTCAACTTGGGAAGCCGACTTTGGTGGTCGGCTGATGTGCTGGTCGACCTGCGGGTGGTTGACTGGACCGGTGGTCGACGAAGGAGGGGTCGACGTCGAGTAGCAGGACGTCGAGCAGTCAGGACGTCGAGCAGTCGGGCGTCGAGCAGTCGGGCGTCGAGTGACATGGTCGTCGACCGAGGGGCATGGTCGACCCGGTGAGGTCGACAACGAGGTGGTCGTCGACTTGGGAGGTCGACGGACACGTACGGGAGTTGCTGGTCGATGTGGTTGCCCGGTCGACCAGGTTACCTGGGTGACGAAGTGCTGCGGAGGAGTGCGACGGTCGCCCAGGCGAAGCTGGCGAGACCGACCTTGGTGGTGGTATCACGAGGTCGTCGTGGCAGATCAGAGGTAGCCGTCAGCCCGAGGCTGACGTGGTGTGTGTGTGCTGTGCAGGTGATGAGGCTCGGCATACCAATCATCTGCACGCACCTGCAAAGCGGGTGCACTGCTGGCACACCGTCGACCTGAAGCATTGGCAAGCTGTCGACTTTGCTCTGCTGGAGCGCGGTCGACCAAGTCGTGTTGGAATGCGGTCGACCATGCTGTGCTGGCAGTTGACCAACCTGAATGCTAGCTCTGATGTAGTCTTGCATTGCCAACTTCATTGTACCATTGTTGTGATCTTTTCTTAGTGAAGCTCTTGCCAAATTGCCCCGTGAACTAGCAAGCAGTGTTAGCACTAGGAAAACGTCTAAGGACCAACGAACGCAGAGATCACACGAGCACACGTGCCTAGCCAGTAGTCTAGCTCCCGTTGTAGTAGTTATCTCCGCAGCAAGCTCCTGGACCAGGCAAGCTCCTCGACCAGGCAAACTCTTGGACCAGGCAAGCTCCTGGACAACCCAAGCTTCTCGACCAGGCAAACTCGTGGACCAGGCACGCTCCTGGACCAGGCAAGCTCCTGGAATAGGCAAGCCCCTAGACCAGGCAAGCTCCTGGACCAGGCAAGCTCTTGGACCACGCAAGCTCTTGGACCAGGCAAGCTCTTGGACCAGGCAAGCTAGTGGACTAGGCAAGCTTCTGGACCAGGCAAGCTCCTGGACCAGGCAAGCTCTTGGACTAGGCAAGCTCCTGGACCAGGCAAGCTTCTAGACCAGGCAAACTCGTGGACCAGGCACGCTCCTGGACCAGACAAGCTCCTGGACCAAGCAAGCTCCTGGACCAGGCAAGCTCTTGGACCAAGCAAGCTCCTGGACCAGGCAAGCTTCTGGACCAGGCAAACTCGTGGACCAGGCACGCTCCTGAACCACGCAAGTTCCTGGACTAGGCAAGCTCCTAGACCAGGCAAGCACCTGGACCAGGCAAGCTCCAGGACCACGCAAGCTCTTGGACCACGCAAGCTCTTGGACCAGGCAAGCTCCTGGACCAGGCAAGCTCATGAACCAGGCACGCTCCTAGACTAGGCAAGCTCCTGGACCAGGCAAGCTCCTGGACCAGGCAAGCTCCTAGACTAGGCAAGCTCTTGGACTAGGCACGCTTCTAGACCAGGCAAGCTCTTGGATCAGGCAGGCTTCTGGACAAAGCAAGCTCCTGGACTAGGCACACTCCTGGACCGGGCACGCTCCTGGACCAGGCAAGCTCCTAGACCAGGCAAGCTCCTGAACCAAGCAAGCTCCTAGACCAGGCACGCTCGTGGACGAGGCATGCTCCTGAACCAAGCAAGCTCCTAGACCAAGCACGCTCCTGGACCAGGCAAGCTCCTAGACAAGGCAAGCTCCGGGACCACGCATGCTCTTGTACCAGGCACGCTCCTAGACCAGGCAAGCTCTTGCACCATGCACGCTTCTGGACCAAGCAAGCTCCTGGACTAGGCAAGCTCCTGGAACAGGCACGCTCTAGGACCAGGCAAGCTCCTGGACCAGGCAAGCTCCTGAACTAGGCATGCTCCTGGATCAAGCAAGCTCCTGGACCAGGCAAGCTCCTGGACCAGGCAAGCTCATGGACCAGGCAAGCTCCTGGACCAGGCACGCTCGTGGACTAGGCACGCTCTTAGACCACGCAAGCTCTTGGACCAGGCAGGCTCGTGTACCAGGCACGCTCAGGGACCAGGCAAGCTCCTGGACAAGGCAAGCTCCTGGACCAGGAAGCTCCTGGACCAGGCACGCTCCTGGACCAGGCACGCTCCCAAACAAGGCAAGCTCCAGGACCACGCAAGCTCTTAGACCAGGCATGCTCCTGGACGAGGCAAGCTCTTGGACCAGGCAAGCTTGTGGACCAAGCAAGCTGCTGAACCAGGCAAGCTCATGGACCACGCAAGCTCCTGGACCAGGCAAGCTCTTGGACCTGGCAAGCTCTTGGACCAGGCAAGCTCCTGGACCAGGCAAGCTCCTGGACCAGGCACGCTCGTGGACGAGGCACGTTCCTGGACCAGGCAAGCTCTTGGACCAGGCAGGCTCGTGGACCAGGCAAGCTCTTGGACCAGGCAAGCTCCAGATCAGGCAAGCTCCTAGACCAGGCAAGCTCCTGGACCAGGCACGTTCCTGGACCAGGCAAGCTCCTGGACCAGGCACGTTCCTGGACCAGGCAAGTTCCTAGACCAGGCAAGCTCCTGGACCAGGCACGTTCATGGACCAGGCAAGCTCCTGGACCAGGCACGTTCCTGGACCAGGCAAGTTCCTGGACCAGGCAAGCTCCATATCAGGCAAGCTCCTAGACCAGGCAAGCTCCTGGACCAGGCACGTTCGTGCACCAGGCACGCTCCTGTCCAGGTCCACGTCCACGACCATGACCACGTCCACGTCCACGTTCACGTCCACGTCCACGACCATGTCCACTTCCACGTGCACGTGTACGTCCACGTCCATGTCCACGTCCACGTTCACGTCCACGTCCATGTCCACGTCTTTGCCACGTTCACGTCCACGTCCACGACCATGTCCACGTCCACGTTCACGTCCACGTCCACGTCCACGTTCACGTCCACGTCCATGTCCACGTCCACGTCCGGGTCCACGTCCACGTCCACGTCCACGTCCACGACCATGTCCACGTCCACGTCCACGTCCACATCCATGTCCACGTCCGAGTCCTCCACGTCCACGACCACGTCCACGTCCACGTCAACCTCCACGTCCACGACCACGTCCACGTCCACGTCCACGTCCACGTCCTCCACGTCCACGTCCACGTCCTCCACATCCACGTCCTCCACGTCCACGTCCACGTCCACGTCCACGTCCATGTCCACATCCACGTCCACGTCCACGTCCACGTCCACGTCCACGTCCATGTCCACGTCCACGACCACGTCCACGACCACGACCACGTCTACGTCAAGGTCCACGACCATGTCTACGTCCACGTCCACGTCCACGACCATGTCCACGTCCACGTCCACGTTCACGTCCACGTCCACGTATCAATGTTCACGTCCACGTCCACGTCCGCGTCCACGTCCACGTCCACGTCCACGACCACGTCCACGTCCACGTCCACATTCACGTCCACGTTCACGTTCACGTCCACGTGCACGTCCACGTCCACGTTCACGTTCACGTCCACGTTCACGTCCACGTCCACGTCCACGTTCACGTCCACGTCCACGTTCACGTTCACGTTCACGTTCACGTCCACGTCCACGTCCACGTTCACGTTCACGTCCACGTCCACGTGCACGTCCACGTCCACGTCCACGTCCACCTCCACGTCCACGTCCACGTCCACGACCACGTCCACGTCCACGTCCACGTCCACGTCCACGTCCACGACCACGTCCACGTCCACGTCCACGTATCAATGTTCACGTCCACGTCCACGTCCACGTCCACGTCCACATCCACGTCCACGTATCAATGTTCACGACCACGTCCACGTCCACGACCACGTCCACGACCATGTCCACGTCCACGTCCACGTTCACGTCCACGTCCACGTATCAATGTTCACGTCCACGTCCACGTCCGCGTCCACGTCCACGTCCACGTCCACGACCACGTCCACGTCCACGTCCACATTCACGTCCACGTTCACGTTCACGTCCACGTGCACGTCCACGTCCACGTTCACGTTCACGTCCACGTTCACGTCCACGTCCACGTCCACGTTCACGTCCACGTCCACGTTCACGTTCACGTTCACGTTCACGTCCACGTCCACGTTCACGTTCACGTCCACGTCCACGTGCACGTCCACGTCCACGTCCACGTCCACGTCCACCTCCACGTCCACGTCCACGTCCACGACCACGTCCACGTCCACGTCCACGTCCACGTCCACGTCCACGTCCACGTCCACGACCACGTCCACGTCCACGTCCACGTATCAATATTCACGTCCACGTCCACGTCCACGTCCACGTCCACATCCACGTCCACGTATCAATGTTCACGTCCACGTCCACGTCCACGTCCACGTCCACGTCCACGACCACGTCCACGTCCACGTCCACGTATCAATGTTCACGTCCACGTCCACGTCCACGTCCACGTCCACGTCCACGACCACGTCCACGACCACGTCCACGTCCACGTCCACGTCCATGAAAGGTCCAGGAGCTTGCGTGGTCCAGGAGCTTGCCTGGTCCAGGAGCGTGCCTGGTCCAGGAGCGTGCCTGGTCCAGGAGCGTGCCTGGTCCAGGAGCGTGCCTGGTCCAGGAGCGTGCCTGGTCCATGAGCTTGCCTGGTCTAACAGCTTGCCTGGTCCAGGAGCGTGCCTGGTCGAGGAGCTTGCGTGATCCAGGCGCTTGCCTGGTCCAGGAGCTTGCCTGGTCTAGGATCTTGCCTGGTCCAGGAGCATGCCTGGTCCACGAGCTTGCCTGGTCCAGGAGCTTGCCTGGTCCAGGAGCTTGCCTGGACCAGGAGCGTGCCTGGTCCAGGAGCTTGCCTGGTCCAGGAGCTTGCCTGGTCTAACAGCTTGCCTGGTCCAGGAGCTTGCCTGATCCCGGAGCTTGCCTGGTCTAGGAGCTTGCCTGGTCTAGGATCTTGCCTGGTCCAGGAGCATGCCTGGTCTACGAGCTTGCCTGGTCCAAGAGCTTGCCTAGTCCAGGAGCTTGCCTGGTCCAGGATCTTGCCTGGTCCTGGAGCTTGCCTGGTCCGGGAGCTTCTCTGGTCCAGGAGCTTGCCTAGTCCAGGAGCCTGCCTTGTGTAGGAGCTTGCCTGGTCCAGGAGCTTGCCAGGTCCAGGAGCGTGCTTGGTCCACAAGCTTGCCTGGTCAAGGAGCTTGCCAGGTCCAGGAGCTTGCCTGGTCCAACAACTTGCCTAATCCAAGTGCTTGCTTGGTCCAGGAGCGTGCGTGGTCCAAAAGCTTGCCTAGTCCAGGAGCTTGCCTGGTCCAGGAGCTTGCTTGGTCCAGGAGCGTGCCTGGTCCACGAGATTGCCCGGTCCACGAGCTTGCCTGGTCCAGGAGCTTGCCAGGTCTAGGATCTTGCCTGGTCGAGGAGCTTGCCTGGTCCAGGAGCCTGCCTGGTCCATGTGTTTGCGTGGTTCAGGAGCTTGCCTGGTCCACGAATTTGCCTGGTCCAAGAGCTTGCCTGGTCCAGGAGCTTGCGTGGTCTAGGAGCTTGCCTGGTCCAGGAGCTTGCCTGGTCCAGGAGCTTGCCTGGTCCACAAGTTTGCCTAGTCCAGGAGCTTGCTTGGTCCAGGAGCTTGCGTGGTCCAGGAGCTTGCGTGGTCTAGGAGCCTGCCTGGTCTAAGAGCTTGCCTGGTCTAACAGCTTGCCTGGTCCAAGAGCTTGCTTGGTCCAGGAGCGTGAATGGTCCAAGAGCTTGTCGGTCAAGGAGCTTGCCTGGTCCAGGAGCTTTCCTGGTACAGGAGCTTGCCTGGTCCAGGAGCTTGCTTGGTCCAAAAGCCTGCCTGGTCCAAGAGCTTGCCTTCTCCAGGAGCGTGCCTGGTCCAAGAGCTTGCGTGGTCCAGGAGCTTGCCAGGTCCAAGAGCTTGCGTGGTCCAGGAGCTTGCCTGGTCAAGGAGCTTGCCTGGTCCGGAATCGTGCCTGGTCCACGAGGGTGCTTGGTCCAGGAGCTTGCCTGGTCCAGGAGCTTGCCTAGTCCAGGAGCTTGCCTGGTCCATGAGCGTGCCTGGTCCACGAGCCTGCCTGGTCCAGGAGCTTGCCTGGTCTAGGAGCTTGCCTGGTCTAACAGCTTGCCTCAACCAGGAGCGTGCCTGGTCCAGGAGCTTGCCTGATCCAGGGCTTGCCTGGTCCAGGAGCTTGCCTGGTCTAGGATCTTGCCTGGTCAAGGAGCATGCCTCGTCCACGAGCTTGCCTGGTCCAAGAGCTTGCCTGGTCCAGGAGCTTGCCATGTCCAGGATCTTGCCTGGTCCAGGAGCTTGCGTGGTCCAGGAGCTTTCCTGGTCCAGGAGCTTGCCTGGTCTAGGAGCTTGCCTGATCCAGGAGCCTTCCTTGTCTTGGAGCTTGCCTGGTCCAGGACCTTGCCAGGTCCAGGAGCGTGCTTGGTCCACAAGCTTGCCTGGTCCAGGAGCTTGCAAAATCTAGGAGCTTGCCTGGTCCAACAACTTGCCTGGTCCAAGTGCTTGCTTGGTCCAGGAGCGTGCCTGGTCCAAGAGCTTGCCTGGTCCAGGAGCTTGCCTGGTCCAGGAGCTTGCTTGGTCCAGGAGCATGCCTGGTCCACAAGATTGCCCGGTCCAGGAGCTTGCATGGTCCAGGAGCTTGCCTGGTCTAGGATCTTGCCTGTTCCAGGAGCTTGCCTGGTCCAGGAGCGTGCCTGGTCCACGTGTTTGCGTGGTTCAGGAGCTTGCCTGGTACACGAATTTGCCTGGTCCAAGAGCTTGCCTGGTCCAGGAGCTTGCCTGGTCTAGGAGCTTGCCTGGTCCAGGAGCTTGCCTGGTCCAGGAGCTTGCCTGGTCCACGAGTTTGCCTGGTCCAGGAGCTTGCTTGGTCCAGGAGCTTGCGTGGTCCAGGAGCTTGCGTGGTCTAGGAGCCTGCCTGGTCTAGGAGCTTGCGTGGTCTAACAGCTTGCCTGGTCCAAGAGCTTGCTTGGTCCAGGAGCGTGAATGGTCCAAGAGCTTGCATGGTCAAGGAGATTGCCTGGTCCAGGAGCTTTCCTGGTCCAGGAGCTTGCTAGGTCCAGGAGCTTGCTTGGTCAAGAAGCCTGCCTGGTCCAAGAGCTTGCCTTCTGCAGGAGCGTGCCTGGTCCAAGAGCTTGCGTGGTCCAGGAGCTTGCCAGGTCCAAGAGCTTGCGTGGTCCAGGAGCTTGCCTGGTCAAGGAGCTTGCCTGGTCCGGAATCGTGCCTGGTCCACGAGGGTGCCTGGTCCAGGAGCTTGCCTGGTCCACGAGCCTGCCTGGTCCAGGAGCTTGCCTGGTCCAGGAGCTTGCCTGGTCCACGAGCTTGCCTGGTCCACGAGCTTGCCTGGTCCACGAGCTTGCCTGGTCCAGGAGCTTGCCCGGTCTAGGAGCTTGCCTGGTCCAGGAGCTTGCCTGGTCCAGGAGCTTGCCTGGTCCAGGAGGTTGCCTGGTCCAAGAGCGTGCGTGATCCGCGAACTTGCCTGGTAGAGGAGCTTGCCTGGTCCAGGAGTTTGCCTGGTCTAGGATCTTGCCTAGTCTAGGTGCTTGTCTGGTCCACGAGCTTGCTTGGTGCACGAGTTTGCCTGGTCCAGGAGCTTGCCAGTTCCAGGAGCTTGCTTGGTCCCGTAGCTTGCCTAATCTAGGAGCTTGCCTGGTTCAGGAGCGTGCCTGGTCCACGAGCTTGCCTAGTACAGGAGCTTGCATGGTCCAGGAGCTTGCCTGGTCCAAGAGCGTGCCTGGTCCAAGAGCTTACCTAGTCCAGGAGCTTGCATGGTCCAGGAGCTTGCCTGGTTCACGAGTTTGCCTGGTCTAGGAGCTTGTCTGGTCCAGGAGCTTGCCTGGTCTAGGAGCTTGCCTGGTCCAGGAGCGTGCCTGGTCCAGGAGCTTGCCTGGTCCAGGAGCTTGCCTGGTCCAGGAGCTTGCCTGGTCTAGGAGCGTGCCTGATCCACGAGCCTGCCTGGTCCAAGGGCTTGCCTGGTCCAAGAGCGTGCCTGGTCCAGCAGCTTGCCTCGTCCAGGATCTTGCCTGGTCTAGGAGCTTTCCTGGTCCAGGAGCTTGCTTGGTCCAGGATCTTGCCTGGTCCAAGAGCTTGCCTGGTCCAAAAGCTTGCCTGGTCCATGAGCGTGCCTGGTCCAGGAGCTTGCCTGGTCCAGGAGCTTGCTTGGTCTAGAAGCCTGCCTGGTCCAAGTGCTTGCCTGGTCGAGGAGCGTGCCTGGTCCAAGAGCTTGCGTGGTCCATGAGCTTGCCTGGTCCAGGAGCTTGCTTGGTCGAGAAGCATGAAAGGTCCAAGAGCTTGCCTGGTCCAGGTGCGTGCCTGGTCCAAGAGCTTCCGTGGTCCAGAAGCTTGCCTGGTCCAGGATCTTGCTTAGTCCAGGAGCGTGCCTGGTCCACGAGCCTGCCTGGTCCATGAGCTTGCTTGGTCCAGGATCTTGCCTGGTCCAGGAGCTTGCCTGGTCCACGTGCTTGCTTAGTCCACGAGCTTGCCTGGTCCAGGAGCTTGCCTGGTCTAGGAGCTTGCCTGGTCCACGAGCTTGCCTGGTCCAGGAGCTTGCGTGGTCCAGGAGGTTGCCTGGTCCAGGAGCGTGCCTGGTCCACGAGCTTGCCTGGTCCAAGAGCTTTCCTGCTCCAAGAGCTTGTATGGTCCAAGAGCTTGCCTGGTCCAAGGGCTTGCGTGGTCCAGGAGCTTGCCTGGTCCAAGAGCTTGCCTAGTCCAAGGGCTTGCGTGGTCCATGAGCGTGCCTGGTCCAGGAGCGTGCTTGGTCCAGGAGCTTGCGTGATCTAGGAGCTTGCTTCGTCCACGAGCTTGCCTTGTCCAGGATCTTACTTGGTCAGGAGCGTGCCTGGTCCACGAGTTTTCCTAGTCCAGGAGCTTGCCTCGTCCAGGAGCTTGCCTGGTCTAGGAGCTTGTGTGGTCCAAGAGCGTGAGTGGTCCACGAGCTTGCCTTGTCCAGGAGCTTGCCTGGTCTAGGAGCTTGCCTAGTCCAGGAGTGTGCTTGGTCCAGGAGTGTGCCTGGTCTAGGAGCTTGCGTGGTCCAGGAGCTTGTCTTTTCCAGGAGCTTGCCTTGTCGAGGAGCGTGCCTGGTCAAGGAGAGTGCCTGGTCCTGGAGCTTGCTTGGTCCAGAAGCCTGCCTGGTCCAAGAGCTTGCTTGCTCCAGGAGCGTGCCTAGTCCAAGAGCTTGCCTAGTCGAAGAGCGTGCCTGGTCGAGGAGCGTGCCTAGTCGAGGAGCTTGCCTGGTCCAGGAGCTTGCCTTGTCCAGGAGCTTGCCTGGACCAAGAGCTTGCCTAGTCCAGGAGCTTGCGTGGTCCAGGAGCTTGCCTGGTCCACGAGCTTGCCTGGTCTACGAGCTTGCTGGTCCAGGAGCTTGCCTGGTCCAGGAGCTTGCTTGGTCCAGAAGCGTTCCTCGGCCAAGAGCATGCCTGGTCCAAGAGCATTGCGTGGTCCAAGAGATTGCCTGGTCCAAGAGCATTGCCTGGTCCAGGATCTTGCCTGGTCCAGGAGCATGCCTGGTCCAAGAGCATGCCTGGTCCAAGAGATTGCGTGGTCCAGTAGCTTGCCTTGTCCAGGAGCTTGCCTGGTCCACGAGCGTGCCTGGTCCAGGAGCTTGCTTGGTGCAGGAGCTTGCCCGATCCAGGAGCTTGCCTGGTCCATGAGTGTGCTTGGTCCAGGAGTGTGCCTGGTCGAAGAGCTTCCTTGGTCCAGAAGCTTGCCAGGTCCAAGAGCTTGCGTGGTCTAGGAGCTTGCCTGGTCAAGAAGCTTGCCTGGTCCAAGAAGCTTGCCTGGTCCAAGAGCTTGCGTGGTCCAGGAGCTTGCCTTGTTCAGGAGCTTGCCTGGTCCAAGAGCTTGCCTGGTCTAGGAGCTTGCCTTTTCCAGGGGCTTGCGTGGTCCACGAGCGTGCCTGGTCCGCGAGCCTGCCTGGTCGAAGAGCTTGCGTGGTCCAAGAGCGTGCCTGGTCCACGGGCGTGCCTGGTCCAGGAGCTTGCTTGGTCCAGGAGCTTACTTGGTCCAGGAGCTTGCCTGGTCCTGGAGCTTGCTTGGTCCAGGAGCTTGCCTGGTCCAGGAGCTTGCCTGGTCCAGAAGCTTGCCTGGTCCAGAGCTTGCCTGGTCTAGGAGCTTGCCTGGTCTAGGAGCTTCCCTGGTCTAGGAGCTTGCTTGGTCCAGAAGCCTGCCTGGTCCAAGAGCTTGCCTTGTCCACGAGCATGCCTGGTCCAAGAGCTTGCATGGTCCAAGAGCTTGCCTAGTCGAAGAGCTTGCCTGGTCCAAGAGCTTGCGTGGTCCAAGAGCTTGCCTGGTCCAAGAGCTGGCCTGGTCCAAGAGCTAGCTTGGTCCAGGAGCCTCCTTGGACCAGGAGCTTGCCTGGTAAAGGAGCTTGCCTGGTCCAGGAGCTTGCCAGGTCCAGGAGCTTGCCTGGTCCAGGAGCTTGCTTGGTCCAAAAGCCTGCCTGGTCCCAGAGCTTGCCTTGTCCAGGAGCGTGCCTGGTGCAAGAGCTTGCGTGGTCCAAGAGCTTCCAGGTCCAAGAGCTTGCGTGGTCCAGGAGCTTGCCTGGTCAAGGAGCTTGCCTAGTCCGGAATCGTGCCTGGTCCACGAGGGTGCCTGGTCCAGGAGCTTGCCTGGTCCAGGAGCTTGCCTAGTCCATGAGCGTGCCTGGTCCACGAGCCTGCCTTGTCTAAGAGCATGCTTGGTCCAGGAGCGTGCCTGATTCAGGAGCTTTCTTGGTCTAGGAGCTTGCTTGGTCCAGGAGCTTGCCTCGTCCAGGAGCGTGCCTGGTCCACGAGCTTGCCTGGTCTAGGAGCTTGCTTGGTCCGGAAGCATGCCTGGTCCAAGAGCTTGCCTAATCCAGGAGCGTGCTTGGTCCAACAGCTTGTTTGGTCCAAAAGCTTGCCTTGTTCAGGAGCTTGCCTGGTCCAAGAGCTTGCCTGGTCCAGGAGCTTGCCTGGTCCAGGAGCTTGCCTGGTCCATGAGCTTGCCTGGTCCAGGAGCTTGCCTGGTGTAGGAGCTTGCCTGGTCCAGGAGCTTCCCTGGTCTAGGAGCTTGCTTGGTCCAGAAGCTTGCCTGGTCCAAGAGCTTGCCTGGTCCACGAGCATGCCTGGTCCAAGAGCTTGCATGGTCCAAGAGCTTGCCTGGTCCAAGAGGTTACCTGGTCCAAGAGCTTGCCTCCAGCAGGAGCTTGCCTGGTCTAGGAGCTTGCCTGGTCCACGACCGTGCCTGGTCCAGGAGCTTGCCTGGTCTAGGAGCTTGCCTGGTCAAGGAGCTTGCCTGGTCCAACAGCTAGCTGGTCC